AACTTCTAGAAATTAGGAAGAAACACCTAACCCCTCAGAGCAGTGTTGCGCCGAGAGAGTGGCTCGCGGAGCCCATCCGTCAAGGAGGTCCAATCGTCATCAGCAACAGCACGTCCACTGAGACGCTCAGACCTGTCTCGTGTGCGTGCGTGTCTGTTCTGGACAGGGTCTTACTGGAATTTAGAATATTCATAGTGATGAAGTCAACAGAGATGCTAGAGAAGAGAGACAATGAAATTTAGAAGAGGCAGAAGAATAGAGTCAAGGAGTTCCAGGAGGTGAGGAAGTTCTTGCATGATCTGAAAGAGGAAATACACACCATGAAAAAGAATCAAATGGAACTGTTAGAGATGAAGGCTGGAATACAGGAAATCAAAACCTCCCTTGAAAGTAGAATCAACCCAAGAATATCTCCAAGACACATTATAGCCAGAGTGGCCAAAACCACAGAAAAAGACAAAATACTCAGACTGGCAAAAGAGAAATGACAAGTTACCTACAAAGGATATCCCATCAGGCTAACAGCAGACCTCTCATCAGAAACAATGTGAACAAGGAAAGAAAAGGAAAATGTATTCCAAGTGTTGAGTGAAAAACAATTTCAACTAAGAATACTATACACAGCAATATTATCCTTCATATAGGAAGGAGTGATAAGAACATTCTCAGATAAACAAAACCTGAAGAAATTTACCAACACCAGATCAGTTCTCCAAGAAGTTCTGAAGGGAGTGTTATATCAGGAAAACTAAAGTCAGACACAGAAATAAGAGTTAAAAAACATCTAAGAAAAAAAAAAAAGCCAGATTAGTGGTAGGGACAAGTCCAGAGTTGAATATTATCTTCCAGAATTTAAATGGAAAGCTTGGACCACAATACAAGTTAGATTAAGTACATGAGACTGAGCTGATGAAATAGAAGTATATGGCTTTTGATGAAAACAACGCTGATCTTTTTCTATGCTTTGTAGTTCAGAGATAAGGATTTTTTTCTTCTCTTGAATTGTTGACAGATCCAGGTAACTACTATTTTAACAGAATCCTAACCTGGTCCCTGGCTTTAAGTCTTAAGCAAAGTTCTCTTAGCATTTTTAAAATTTTGATTTATTAAAGCTAACACTGACTTTGTTGAAATTAAAAAAAAATATTAAAAAATACCGATTTAATGATCACAGTAAGCTGTATAGCTTTAGCTAGATGCTATTTTATAGTATATTCCTTCATTCTACTCAACATTTCATACCTAAAGCCAAACATTTGTTCACAGATATGTATATATCAGCTGAATTTGCTATTGAAAGTAGTTAGATAAATTAAGATATTTTGTTAACCAATAAAATGGGGGAGAAAAAACAGGAATGGAAAGCAACTGCAGATACCAGAGCTAGAGTGGGAGGAGGGTGGAATTTGGCAGAGGGTGAGAAATCAGGGGGGGGGGTTGAAATTAAAAAAAAATATTAAAAAATACCGATTTAATGATCACAGTAAGCTGTATAGCTTTAGCTAGATGCTATTTTATAGTATATTCCTTCATTCTACTCAACATTTCATACCTAAAGCCAAACATTTGTTCACAGATATGTATATATCAGCTGAATTTGCTATTGAAAGTAGTTAGATAAATTAAGATATTTTGTTAACCAATAAAATGGGGGAGAAAAAACAGGAATGGAAAGCAACTGCAGATACCAGAGCTAGAGTGGGAGGAGGGTGGAATTTGGCAGAGGGTGAGAAATCAGGGGGGGGGGGATATATATGAAACAAGAAATGGAAAATTATTTGAGATGATAACATGTATGATTAAGCCACTATACAGTGTATTCTGGATGGGAAACTGCATCTTGTATGCTGGGATGATATTCAGTGAATGAACACGAAATAAATAATTAATAAAAAAATTAAAAAAAAATTGCACCTGCCTGTTCTGTCTTCATTGTCCATTTTGTTGGTCCCTTAGAATAAGGTGTTGAGGGGCCAGCAGATGACATAACGGCTATGTTACTGAACTCCCATGTAGTTGATTGCAGTTCGAATCTTGGACCCGGTGGCTTAAACTAACGCCGGGTGCGTGTGCATGCATGCCCAAGATCAGGGGGGGAAAATGGAGGAGAAGGGATTGTGGCATGGCCACCCCCCCAGGGGGTTGATTTTTCACTTTCTGTCTCTCTGTCTGTCTCTGTCTTTTTGGTGAGCACCTGTGCTCTATAGCAAGAAAAAAAAAAGATGTATTTCTTTTTTTTAAATAAAGGTGTGCCATGAGCATATTTTATCTGTCCATGACGGTTAGTGCAGATCGTTAGCTGTCTTTATTACTGGTGATGTGAGGCACTAGTTACATTAAGCTTGTGGTGGGCACTGTCAGTCTAGTTTCTGAATGAACATCATGGTCTGAGGCTTTACTCATACTAGGATATGTGCAGTCTTTGACTGTTAGGCTAAGAACATTCATTAATTTTCCTCCTTCCCCGCATCAACAATAGTGAAGTACTGATAAATACTGCCAGTTTTGAAGCTGCAGCCCACCCCTCAAAACAGGGCTTTGGGCAGTGCTCTTCTCCATTAGGGGCAGATGGGTAGCCTACTGTAGATAGAGACATTTGCCACTGCTTGGCTGCCTCAGGATACATTTGCTCATTAACACTTGATAGGTTGAATGCTTCTGAAGAAGGCTACTGAGCAATTAAGTATCATTTAGACTAATTCTGCAGAAAGTGACTTCTCTAACTGCCTTTTTCTTGAAAGGATACTGTCCCTCAGGGAAAAAGGGTTGAAGTGAATGAACAAAAGGAAGCCAGGTGGGGAACCAGCAGTTAGCGTAATGGCTATGTCGCTGGACTCCCACGTAGTCGACCGCGGTTCGTGTCCCGGACCCGGTGGCTTAAAACTCATGCCGTGTGCGTGCGTGCCCAGGATCCCAAGAGGAGAATGGAGGAGAGGGGATTGCGGCGTGATCATCCCCCCTGGGGGGTGATTTCTTGCTTTCTGTCTCTATGTCTCTCTCTGTCTGTCTGGCGAGCGCACGCGCCCTATCGCAAAAACCTCTCCAAAAAAAAAAAAAAAGGAAGCCAGGTGAGGGGCTACACATAGACTTTGTGGTTCAGTCCAACTCTAACTGAATGTTCTATCACATTAATCTAGAGGTCCTCAGTCCAGAAAATTCAAATAATATTTAAGTTTATAAGCCTAGATGCAGTAGTATAAGCAGTAGGGTACCACTGCATGAAGCTTGGGTTTGGTTCCAGGCCAGGCATGGTGGTGTCAGCCTACAGTCCTGGCTAACTGGGGCAAGGGAACTGTAACATGGTGAGACCCTGTCAAAATACCTGTCTCTGTCTCTCTCCCGGCTCTGTGTCAGGTTCATGCCAGGCACTCTACAGGAAAACCTTGCATCTAGCTAGCAAAGCCACCTTGGAAGGAGCCCTAACTGACTTCACAGAGGAAAGATACTTAGAGGTCAGGCAGGTCATCTAGATGTGTGTGCAGAGTCCCTAGTGGTGCCATGAGGCTGTTGATTACGTGTGTGGTATCACTCAGGTTCTCGGTGCAGCTATGGGCATTAGGCAGGATAAGGCTCCATTTCAGCCCCACCTGGAGCTTTTCCATCCCAAAGCTTCACTGCCAAACACTGTCACAGGCAATAATCAAGGGAAGCAGTTCATATTGATGTTAAAATCTGAAAATCAGTTCCTCATTGGCAGTAACGACATTTCAAGTACTCAGTAGCTTCATACGACTAGCAGCTACCGTATTGGACAGTGCAGACTGAGAGCATTTCGGTCATTGCAGAAAGTTCTGCCACTGCAGTGCTCTAACTGTTGAGATTCTGCTCTCTGGCTACAACTGCCTGTTTGCCCTACAACTTGTCAAATAAACATGGCTTCAATCTGTTAGCTTTTCCCCTATCCTTGTGGTCTATCGGATAACTCTGACCCTCACCTCCAAGTCTAGACTTTCTAACCATGATTCTGTGGCATCCTTGACTCTCTTACTCCTTGATTTTCTGTTATGTGCCACCACTGTCAATCCCTAATCTTTGGTGGGTCACACACACCATTTTGATCTCCTTGTTCCTATTTTTGGATTATCACCTATTACTGGAAATCATAAAATAAAATGGAAAGAATACATGTTCTTTAACTTAAACTGAGTCTTCTCTGCTTTTTTGGCATTTCTCTAGTTCTCATATTGACACATTCATTTGTGCTTCATAATGCCAAGTTCCCTAAAACCTCAGCTCTCTTGTGACCCTCAATGATCCACCTGATAGTCAGTAGGAAAGATAAACCATTGCCATGAGCTTCCTCAACATTTCCTTCCAGTTTTCTTTGGGTTTCCTTTAGCTGAAATGACATGCCAACTGTTTTCCATCTGAGGGTACTAATTTCCTGCTTCTGCATCTCTGCTGGTGGTGTCTCCTGGTTTAGAATTCCTCTTTCTGATCTCACTTCGGCCACAAAACTATTTTGGATTATCCCACCTGAAAGCAACTTCTTTCTGCTCCAGATTTCCCTAACATTTGATCTGTACCTCTCACAGAAATCACCTGGCATTGCAGCTGCAAAAACCCATACAGGCCACCTCACATCTTCCCCGACAAACACAGCCACTGTGAGAAGGAGGTGCCTGCTGGATGCAGCTGGGTTCCCCACCAGCAGCTGGCACAGTTCTTTGTATAGAGACTAGTGAGTACATATTTATTGAATGGATATCTATCTATCTATTTTTGCAAATGTCAGACTAATTCCTTAGGTAGACAGATTGGATTCAATAATGAATTGATAAACACATTACTTCTAATGATCTCAACATGAAGTTCTAACTGATCGATTATATTCCCAGAACTTCTGATAGGAAAACAAGGGTGCAGATGTGGATGGTCAGCACTGCTATTAATGGTACCATGGCATGTGCAGAGTATCCCAGTGGGGGAGTGGAATAGATAGAAAAAACAGAGAATTGTCAAACAACCAAATAAAGACATTGAAGTGCAAACAAACTTACCTTGGGTAGCAATATAATGATTAGGTCGATGATAACCCTAAAAAGAAATGAGAGAATATTTGATAAACTTAAAGTCAATCCACAGCACAGATGTCCTATCTAAGTTTGCTAAAATTAATAAGCATACAGACATAAACGGCTGCATCACTTGGCAGCTAAATCACCAGACCCAGCATCATTGAATTTCTCTTAATAAGCAAAGGTGCATCACAGATAGTTGTTGTGATACTCGCACAGGAGGTGTGAGTAACTTAATCGTACATGGCTGTGAGATGATGGATGAGCAATGAACACGACAACCTATGGATCCTCTGAAATAACAATGGCCACGACTCTTATCAAAGTGTAGACAGGCTGAGAATATGCAACGAGATTTCATTTGTGTTTCAGATGTTATTGGCAATGTGCCAAGGATTTATCGCATATTCAATTATATCAGTATAGTCAGTTATGTCAATAGTAATACTCAAAAACATCCTTAAATGCTGCTAGTGCCATGGCATGATGTCATAGCAGGGGCCAGGAATGTAAAGAGGCAGAAATTCTGTGAGATCCCTTCCTTTCGTCATGATCCTAGAGAAAACAGGTTAGATAAAAAGTGGGATGACAGAAGAAGAGAAAAGAGCAAAGAAACTGTGGGATGAG